AGTCACCACTCTTGTCACTTGTTAACAAAAAATGAATATGTAGGAGTTTGAATAGCTTATCTTCTCATCAGGATGTGACATTACAAAAAATTTATGCTTGTTCACCAGGTCCAAGTTTAACACAGAAAATAAGTCAAGAAATTTCTGCCGTATAACCTTACAAAAATGAGAAAATAGACAGTAAACGAGTAAAATGAGATTGGCCGAGCCGTCCTGTCGATGCGGAGAACAGGCTTGGTGAGGTTCAGGTGTGCGATAAAAGGTAGAAGGTGGGTTGGAACTAGATTGTGGTCGGTGGGTCGGATCGTTGTAAGTGAGACGGCTAATTGTTTGAACAGCATGGGCGATGAGCCCTGAAGCGAGGAGAGTAATATTGTGGTCCAGTTGGTCCAAAAGGTATATGGATTGAGAATAACATCGGGGGCGAGTAAAGTGTTGAGTCAACCGGTGAGGTGAGGTATAGTGAGATTGGACAAAGTGTTGTAGCGATTGAGTATATAGAGGTAGAGTAGAAGATACCGTTATACTAAACGTATTGCTGAGTCGCGTACGTGGTTCGTGAACAGACGGGGAGGTACGTAGTAGCGAATTAAGAAAGAAAACTAATGTAATTGAGCGGACAATTCGCTACTGGTTGAATGACACATCGAAGGTTGCCTAATACTGGAAAAATGTGCAGACGAAGGTGACCAGGAGGAGTTTACTAGTGTTAAATCTTAAGGTAGGGGAGTGAGGGTACTCATTAGGGGAGATGCCCATGGAAGTCTATATGCAACGTAAATGCACAGGAGAAGGAACTCTCCTGTGGATTTATGATTATCGCGTCGTTAGTTCTCTTATATATTTAATGCGGCGAATGGTTGTGGGGACCATAGAGCGACCGCTGTATAATATGGTAGACTATCCGGTTTTCGCTTCTAAGTAATAGTTATGTGGTACAAAAGAATGTGGGATGTCTACGTAATCCTAGATATCGAAAATCACCTATGGTAAAGTGCAAAAAAATACACAGGAGAAAGAATTCTCTTGTGGATTTTTGTTTTTGTAAATCCTATGGGTGGGTTTTATAATGCGTATATATATATATCTGGGTAAGTATTACTATTTATTACTATTGTATTAATGGGTATAGTCAAGGGGACCATCCTAGGTTCGCCGTGATACGTATATACGTGTATACGTATATACGTGATACGTATATAATTAATACAGCTATCTGGGTGACCGGTAAGTATTACTATTTATTACTATTGTATTACGGGGATAGTCAAGGGGACCATCCTGGGTTCGCCGTGATACGTATATAAGTAATACAGCTAGTGTAATATGGTGATCTAATTGAGAACGTTGCCGAGGGGCAGAGGTTGGTCAAACTCTGCCTGGTTTAAAAGTATGTGGGATAGAGAAATTCGTGTGTCGTGAGGCGACGCAATCGGGGCATGAAGGAAAAGGAATGTTGCCACCGGCGGTGTGGGGGGCGAGGCGTTGGCTGGGTGAAGAAGGTAGAGGGTTAGAATTGGAAAGTGGTCGGGAGAGGTTGGTAGGTTGATTAGGTCGAGTTAATAGATCTGGTCGCCAGGTATTTGGGATATGTGAGGAGGAGCGATTTGGAGTGTAGTTAGTGTGTATAGGCAATAAGTTAGAACGTGATTGGCGGGGGTGTGCGTTAGGGGGAGAATACAACGAGTGATTATCACTACGAGGTCGGTTAGTATTGGGTTTGTAGCGTCGTCGAGAATGGACTCTCCCACCTCCACCAAAATTACGGCCGTCACCATCCTGTATGTGATGTGTGCCTCGGAATTCTGTATTCCTGGATTGCCAGTGATTCGAAGGTGCTGTGATGTGGAATTGGCTATGTACATTCTGGCGGGTAGAGAAACCGCCACCACGGTTGATGGAATACGAAGATCTACCCCTCTGGTTACGGTTACCCTGGGAGGTTCGCTGTTGGTAGTTATTGTGTCTAAAACCACCCGTCGGTGGGGAATCTGGGAAGGTTATGTGCTGACCCGAGGAGCGAGGGCGAGGTGCATCTAACATATGAATAGAATCTGAACCTGCAGAGACTACATGAGGCCTCATGTCGGATGTACCAATCCCTTGTTGTAATTGGGAAGGAAGTTGTTGGGCTAAGAGAGAGACGAAGTGCGGGTCGTTGGTCGATCGGGGATTGACGAATGGGGGGTGTGCATTACAGTCTTGAATGGAAGTAAACCTTAAGGTTTGAATGAGGTGGGCGAAAAATGCATCGTAGGAAGAAGATGTAGCGGGTGTGGGCCACCCCGTCAAATTGTCGATGTTAGAGATGTGTGGTGGGCCGGCGCAGAAGTCGCCATCAATGGTCGAGATATGCGAGGGAGGGAAAGGTGGTCGATAGAATGCGTTGGTATGGTGTGGAGGTACAGGTTGGAAGGAAGGTAGAATGTGAGGTGGCACAAAAATGTTAGCAGGGAGAGGTGCCGCGGGGGTTGGTAAAGGTTCCAACTCCGTATTAGGACAGACTTGTGGGAAAGAAAGAGGAGAGTTAGTGTCTGTCGGGGGTGAACATCCTGGAGAGATGGTGATGTCGTTGATAGTTGTCCCCATTTGGAAAAGAGTGGGTGATGCAATAATGAAAGGAAAAAATGGTGGTGGTTGAGGAGCGGAAGGTTGTTTTGGGCAGGGGCTCAACCACTGCTGGGAGGTGGAGTAAAAGATGTTGTGGTACAAATAAGTATTGAGGGGTTGATGGGCACGGAGTCGTTGTGCAGGAGGTTTCGTAGACTACGATGTTTGAGATGCGGTTTGGAGTGGAGTGTGGTGGTTGATGGAAGACGTTGGGGGCTGGCGTTTGGTTGAGGATAGAAAGTAGCGGGAGGCAAGATACTAGTTTTGAGATAAAAAGTCGCAGGGATGGATGCTGCAGGTAGTTGATTTGCACTCGAAACTGGATTTTAGCTATCGGGGTCAGAAGAGAGAGGTGATGAAGGAGAAGCAGTTTCTGGTTGGGGTGAACGTCTTGGACTCAAAATGATATCGTGGTGAGGAGCAACAACCTCGTTTTTAGGTGGAGATGTTGAAATTAAAAAGGGGGTGGCAGGTTGGAGAGATTTGCCAAGTGACGTGGCACCAAAAGTATGCGGAACAACCTCGATTTGGGGTCGAGATGTTGAAATTGGAAAGTTCCTCGCTGATGGGAGAGATTGGCCAATCGACGTGGCACCAAAATTATGAGGACCAAGAGTGTGAGATGATGCTGGGGTTAATTCAGATGTAAGGCCGACTCGTCCGCCGAAAAATATTGGTCTAGTGGGCGTGCCGGATGAAAATGTGGATCGTATGTGGTTATAGGTAACCGGTAAGTAGGAGGAGAACGAGGATTCGGGGAGGCCGATGTGGGGTTAGTGGTTTGGGATGTGTAATATCGATGTCGAGAAATGAAATTATCCTCAATGCGGTCGAGTTGAACGAGCTGCCGCTCTCTCTTATTACAAAGTGCTGTGTGTCAGGTATGGGAAAAAAGAGCTATAACTACCAACACGCTAAATGAAACGGAGGATGCCCTAACGGCTGGAGAGAACAACGGGGTGCGTACGACTTACTGTCACAGGGTAAATGATTTTCAAAATATATCGGCGCCCCTCGGAGCGTGAACCGATAATTAGAAAAATACGCTTAATGGCGAGAAAAAATGGCTACTGTGGCCTACTAGGTGCAAAAAGGACTGAAAAACGACCTCGTCCTTGCTGTCTCCGCAGTCAAGGGAAATAAATTCATACAGTCTTCTATGTGTACTTGAAATGTAGGGGCCCCTATGGGCAAGAAGTGTTCCCCAAACTTCTCCCCGTCCTTTTTAGTTCTGACAGGTACGTGATTCTAGGGAATTGTGGACGTATGGTCGGTGGTGGGAACTCAAAATATTTTTTTTCTGTAAAATATTGACGGAGTACCGACCAATGGTGGATCGTGTAAAATGGTGAAGGGGGGAGAGTGTGGGGGGGGGGTGGTTAGAAAGTCATGGAAATTTTTTTTTTACCTTGGTGGCAGTCTGTCACACCGACGTCGTGAAGATGGGGGTAGAGACGGAATGGGGCGTTTTTGTCGTTGTGACACTTCGTCACACTGCAGTCGTGAAGATGGGGCCAGTTGAGTGAGGGGGTGCGGCGTCCTTCTCTCCTTCTGACAAGGAGAGGCCGCCGTGGGTACCAATGTGAAGTTCCGTTTATGGGGGTTGACTGCAGTGATGGTGGTGATGAGGAAGATGAGACGATCGTCGTCGTCGTTGTGGTGTGTGCGTAATAATTGGGAGGCGAGATGAGACTTGGTTGCACTTTTCTTAGAGAGGTTTTATTTATTACTTGTACAAACAGGCAGAACTCTGCCTCTCCCAATAATATTGGGAGAGGTAACCTGCAGTAGCACAAAATACTTCCTCTACCGTCCTCCACCGTTCCCCCGCCTGGTGGCTGCGCTTTCGCTTATATATCCTAGCAATACCTAATTGATACCTATGTGGTTGACCGATTATGAACCGGTTGGCCACGCTGAATAGAGATATCTCAGATGAGGTTGTGACGAAGCTGGTTTGCAACATTGTCTCTTGTTTGTAAGAGATGATGGAGGTGAGTGGCATACTAATTAAGGGGTTTGGCATTAATGAAGTTGACCAAACCTGCTCTTTCACACTTGCATTGCCTTTTGTACAAACACTCAGAAATGCATTCAAGAATCATAGTTAATCACGAATTTGATAAAAGTGATGAATGATACATGTAGGTACACGCTAAATAAAGTTATATAAACTTTATGCAACATTGTGCAAAAATTTACCCAATTGTAATGTCCTCCTCTATTTATTTAACTCAACCTTAACTAAATTTTACACAACTTTAGTTAGAGTGTATTAAATTGAACATTGCAATTGCTAATTTACAAGTGACCCATCCCATTAGTCTGTCAACTCTAAATACTCAACGTGCACATGTACCTGCTTTCTTATCGTGGATCATTATTATCTCACCGGATTTGTTTAAAAGGTGTTTGACAACGTGATTGATTATGTTGTTGGTGTTGTCATGGTAACTATAAAATAAACCGTATCTTTTTGCACCGTCTCAAATTTTAACACAACACTTGTCCAGAAGCATATTTACTCGTATATGTACATCCATAAATTTGCTCATACATAATAAAAAATGAAATTATCCTCCTTCGTATTCGGTGCGATCCCATTAATAATTCAGTACTATGCTAAAAAGTATATGGAAGATGATAAGACCATAGCGTTACAAGATTTAGAAAACGACTATGGAATCCCACGAATTAAAAGTTACGACTTTATCATTGGTAAGTACAAAAAATAACATTTTAAAATTCAGAAATATTAACTAAACCTTTAAAAAAGTATGTAAAATCTCAAAATCCAGTTGGAGGTGGAACCGCGGGTTGTGTCGTTGCCGGCCGGCTCTCTGAACGTTTCAACGTTCTTCTTTTGGAAGCCGGGGGGACACCTATTCCCCCCGCGCACGTGTCGTACTTCACCCGGGATGTCGCGGTTGCTCCCGATATCAATTATTTCTATGAGTCAGTCACCCAAAGGAATATGTCCCTTAGAAATGGCGGCGTATGTAGAGACGATTATAAAAAAATTTAATAGACAATTCATTCAGACATTGAAAACTCTGTAAGCTGACAAACTTTTATAAAATTTTACAAATATTTCTGAGGAAAATTAGCGTAGAAATTTTTGTAAACTTCCTTATTTAGATCCAGAGCATCTTTTTATTTTGTAAAAGTTCGTAAAATTATTTGACAAAACTTACAGATTTTACAAGTTACCTATGACTATTTGAATTGCCCCAATATTTCAAAAATAAAGCAAATTTCGGAAATTTATTTTTTAAAGATTTCCGCCTTTGAAACTGGAAAAATGCTGGGAGGATCGGGATCGCATAATGAGATGATACATCAAAGGGGATCACCTCTCGACTGGGATGGCTACGCCGCCATGACGGGAGACGCCACGTGGAGGTATGAAAATGTGCTAGAATTCTGGAAGAAAAGTGAAGATTTTGTGGGACAGCTCATCAATCCGGAGCAAGGAGGCAAGTTGAGACGCTTGAGATCTTTTTGAACCAATTGCACTAATTTGTTTGGATATATGCAGATTATTACGGAGTGGGTGGTCCCTTGACCTTGAACTCGGACATACCACCCATTTGGTCCAAGTGGGCCGAGGCAGCGGCTGAGCTAGGGTTTACAGTTGCAGACCCCAATGCACAACAAATACCAAGTTTGGGCTGAATAACAAATATGTGATAAGGGATTGATAAGCGATACATGTGTACATACGTGTGTTATATTTTATACACAGGTTTTGCTCCGGTTCAAATGCTTATCGGTTCAGGTGCTCGTGTCAGCACTTATACCGGATATATTAAACCTTACGAAGAAATCAGGGCGAATCTTACGGTTATTCGATATGCAAATGTGGAACAGGTAAAACTTTGGAGTGAAAGGCGAGAAATTCCGACTTGATTTTCTTGATTTGCGGACCAGACATGGCAATCGCTACATGGCAATCATTGCATTGCAATTTTTACATTGCAATCCTTACAACACGTTATCATTACATAGCATTATCACTACATGGCTTTATTATTACATCGCACATCATTACATAGCATTATCATTACATAGCTTTATCTTTGCATAGCATATTCCTTTAAAATTAGTCAGCAAAATTGTGCACGTATATAGCCAAGTCAAAATCCAATCAAAAATAAAAATAACAGTAAAATTAACTTTTTAGGTCATTGTCAATTAAGATTCTTAAAGACAGTACGCTATTTTTCGTAAGTACTCCATATGTGAAAAGTCATCTAATCCATACTTTTCAACCGTTTCTTGTAATTTTAGAGCTAGCAATTTATATTTATTCCCCGGAGTGGCCTCGGTTCCGGCTAAAAATTGATTCATTTTAAGTTCGGTCAATGTTTGTTGATCCTTGAGCCCTTGTATAAGTTTGAAAATAGTTGGATGGGATGCACCTAAAAGGGTAGCGAAGCCATGATGAAATCCCTCGCACGCATTTGTTGTCTTAGGAAGACCTTGTAAAACTGCGTGAAAGCAGTTCCACAATTTTATAGAGAATATAGGCTCCAACCAAACATTCCTGCCACGGTTCCATTGCCCGATCCAAGTGCGCTCAAAGTAGTTAATGAACTCGGCCAACATGATTTCATTCGTTGTGAAGAATTCATCTTCCATGAGAAGGTCAAACGACATAACCACATCGTCAGGGGGAACAAATGCTAAGCTCCTTAAGTGTTTCATCATAAATGAGAAGTTCGAGTCATTGCTGTACAAATTGTGTATATCCGGGTGTTTTTGGATATTACGAAATATGCACTGCGAATAATGGAAAAAGCAACCATTTTTCTCTGCTTGTGGAAAGATGTCCTCCATTGCCCTTATTGAGGCTTTCTCATAGTCACTCAGTATTGTTGTTGGGTCCAAATTAGGTTGAAGTTTCTTGATTTCCGAAAGAAGAAGAATATATGTGCCGGATGTTCGATTGGGAGTCAAGCAATAGATAAGAGGAAATGTGCTTCTTTACGCATCCCGTGTAGTATGAAAAGTTGGTCAAAAAGAACGGGCGAAGACTGTAAAACGAGAATTCCAATTAAATGTTTGTCAATATAACGTAACAAAAAATGACCCTCACTTTAAAAGTTCCGTCGACAAGCCAAACATTGCACTGAGATAAAAATTCATGGTTACGGGCAGTCGAGAAGATCATTATTCGATCCGCATGTGACCCACTATCAAATGCCAGGAAATTCTCGTTGTTTGAAGTTATTTTAAAGGAGTCAGGCAACTTGATATCCTCCCTTTTGGAAGGAACGATAAGTGACCCAGTGGTCACGCCTCTGACCTTTCGTATACCTCGTTTTATATTATGTGCCGGGGGCATGTGACCTTGACTTGCAGCTGGCATTTGTCTAATTTCGTTGGCAATTAGTTGTGCTGGAGCAATGGAGGAACTGCTGGCTGCTTGTCGAATCTTGGTCATGACTTTTTTCACATCACAAGCAATAGGTTTTGGCTCATGATTATGTGACCCGACTTGCCGTAAAAGCTCTGGGTTACGTAAATTATCACTTGTGTGTAATCTGCACCGGCACTTGCACTTTTGAAACTGATCGCATCTCCAAGTCTTTTTTTCTAAACCATCTCTTTCAAACTGGAAAATGTTTCCATTAAACGTAAGCAATGGCCTTCCTCTTCTCGATGCTAATACTTCGATGTTAGTTGCCATTATTGAGATAGTTTTTAAAAACTTTAATACTTTTTTTTGGCACGGATAATATATATAGTTTGACTCATGGATTGGTTTTGTCACAATACAATTCTTGTGGACCAGTGAAAACATGTGTAAGGAAGATGCTATGTAGCTGTCATGCTATGTAATGATAAAGCTATGCAAGGATATGTTTTGTAGTGATCATGCTATGTAGTGATAAAGCTATGTACTGATAAACCATGTAAGTCGCCGCCATGTATAAATTGCAATGTAAAGATTGCCATGTAAAGATTGCCATGTCTGGTCCGCGTACCGATTTTCTTAAATAATTTCAAACTTCTTAGATTCTTCTCGACCAAAACAATCGCGCCTATGGGGTAGCATATACCCGCCACGGAATCCCGCAAATAGCCCACGCATCTAATGAAGTCATCTTATCGGCGGGGCTATGAATTCTCCCCTCCTGTTAATGCTATCCGGAGTCGGGCCTCGCGAAGTTCTTGAGCAAGCCGAAGTAAATACATGCATTGTTGCATCTTAAATAATTCTTGAATTTCCCGCTAAGTAATTTATATGTATCACTTCGCCCCTCTAGATCCCGGTCAAAGTAAACATACCCGCCGTCGGACAAAATCTCAACGATCACATTTGGTTCATGATCCAATCTTTTAAATTCAACGCTTCCGCGTCTCCATATATCCCGCGGATCTTGGAAGAAGATCTAGAAGCTGCGTTCACAACGTATCTCGAAACTGGGGAAGGCGTCCTAGGTCAAGTCGAGGCCGGTCCGCAGGCCTTTCACGCATCGTCACGCGCCATCGTGGAGGGCGAGCCGGCTTGGTCGGATGTCCGGATCACGCTGACGACCATGTGCCCTCTCAGCTTTTCTGATGACGTAGACAGCTGGACGGCCTGTTATCATATGGAATTGGACAGGATGAAGTCGAGGGGAAGTGTGTCTCTTAATACGACGGCTTATCTGGACGGTGTTAGAGATGTTACAAAGCTGGTGTTGATCGATTTTAAGGCGTTTGACGTTGCGAGTGATTTGGACGTTGCGTTAGATGGTTAGTGCGCACAAAAAATTGTCATACATATGCAGTGTTTCGTTTCTTAGCTACATTTCTTACACTGTAAAGCGAGAAATGCAGGGTACAAGAAACTGCAAAAAAGTGCAAGAAATATGCGCCATTTTTTCATAATCAAAACAGCTGGAAAAAATAACTTTCGTGTACATGATTATATCTTGCATGTGGTTACTTGCACCCAAAATATGTACTGTCAATCTCTCAATTTTTATGACTCATGTCTATCAAAAAATTTACCCTGTTAAGGAATTGACCTCGTATTTCGTATAATGGAAGAAACCTCTGCCTTCCAGTCGCTTGGAACGACATTTGCGGGAACGGCGATTAATGGATGCACTCACCTCCCCTTCCGATCCAGGGAGTATTGGGCGTGCCACGTGCAACAGGTCGCGACCACTGCGATCCATTCCGTCGGAACATGTTCCATGGGTGCAGTGACAGATTCAAAGTTAAGGTAAATATATAAGTAATTAATTTGTTGAAAAACTTGATAAGATTAGTGAACTTTACTAAAAATGAGATGTTTTTTTCAGAGTAATGGGCGTCCCCGGCCTTCGCGTCGTGGATGCGTCGGTCCTGCCATACACGCCAAACGCTAACATCAACGGTCCAGTTATTCTCGTAGCGGAGAAAGCAGCGGACGAAATTTCACAACAATGGGGTGGTTTAAGTCAACCTTAAAATTTTGTAATTGTCTAATAAATCATTGTCAATTGAGGTCAAATAAATTGAGTCACCTTGTTTTTGAATCATCCCAAAGATTTAATTACTTGTGCAGACAGGTATGCACCGCTTGATAGATTATGTAGTCTGGCATATTTGACAGACGCTTTATGTATACAATGAATGTATTCCAGCCTGGAATATCCAGGCACACACTCTTAGAAATCTTTTATACTATTTCGGTATTAAAGTTGCTATCGTCCCGTAGAAAATTGCTACCGGTGACCGGTGTGGTAAATCATCAATGCGGAACTATTGCTACATGGTGTCAATACCGCTTTGGTGAAGTCGTAAATGAATACCACTTGGTATTATGGTACCCCTGAATTTCTAAGAGTGCGCAAATGGATTGGACAGCCTGGGCTAATACATACATAGCTGTGGTCAGGTCAGACCCGTTATCATAATCATGATCAGGCACAGATAACTGCAACTTTTTGTACTCCCGTGCTTATTAGCTCATCAAAGCAAACTTTTTTTACAAGTACGACATCCAAACTAAACTCTCGAAACAACCAGAGTGCATTTATCCTGTATAAATAAATTATACATAAAATATTCATTGCTTATTTTAAGGTCTCGTATTTTTTTCAATAACTCGTGTCTCCTTACCATTAATTTTAAATTAAGGATATGGCTGTACCCAAGAAAAATAAAAACTGGGATTGGGATGGTCCACTAAAAAATAGAATGGGTAAACTTCTCGAGACAGGTTTATGGAGCGACTTGGTCGTCATTTTTGGCAATAAAGAAGAGGTTAGAAATTTACTCATTAGCATATGTAATACATATTTAATTCTGTCCTTTATTTGGGAATATTCGTATTTTCTATCGTTAAGTTACGTCTCCGCACATTAGTCCTTCGGGCTGGATCTCCGATGTTTGATAAGAAAATTACCGCCGCCGTGGAGACGACCGGCCGATTACAGATTGATGACGAGGACCCAAACATATTCAAGATGATGATCAATGTAACATAAGAAATTATCATAGAAAATTAATGGCTGTTTAATTATGTGTTGCGCGACATCTTCGTAACTTTGCGGTGAAATCGGTGTACAGATAGTGTAATGTTTAATGTTGATTCTGCTGAGAGAGGTGGAATCCATCACTGATTTACATGATCCGACCCGCATAAGGTGTTCTAAATTATTTAATACAAGTTTATTTATTTTGGCGTAAACAATCATTCCATTTTGTGTCTGGAATTTAGAAAATTGATTGATTTTCACGTCAAATAAAATAAACTGGTATTAAAAATAATTATGCGGTTCGGCTAATTCGTCTAATAGAAATCGGCTATGGATTCCAATTCACTCAGCAGTCAGCAGAACCAACAGTAATGAAGGATTTATTTTAGTAGTACGTAAACTGAAAATGAGAAATAAAAATTCACCAGACAACGATTTTACGAATAGTGACTGACGACGATAATATTTAGATGCCTTTTTGTGTCGCACATTTTGTAAAAAAATTAAAGGATTCTGATTGATCGTCGTATCGCAACGCTTTGAAAATATCTTAACATTTCAGAAACATACTGCGAATTACGAAGCGACATTTACCGCTCTTACGAAGTTGACGTGAATACCTCCAATAAGTATTGAATTTGGTAAATAATTAACTCGCACACAACGTCAATATATTGTTTTATTTCTTAAGTACCTGTACACTGGAAAATCTGATGTTAACATGAATGATGCCCTCCCCTTGTTGAAGACAGCGTCTGAGTATGCCATCCCGGGACTCGTGGTCCAATGCGAATCCGCGTTAAAGGGTAAAATAACCGATGAAAATGCTCTCTCTCTATTTCACGGAGCGATGGATTACGCACATAAGAATTTGATCAAGACATCCCTTGACTACATATGCGAGTAAGTCCACAATTATTTAAGTTAATGTAAGAAATTAGGTAACCCTCATAAAACGTCTAACTCTCATAGTTAAATAAATGGAGTGATTTTATAAACGAGGCTCAACTGGTTTCAAATTTAATTTCAGAAATGCTGCAAGTATCTTAATACGGGATGAATTTGCACATTTGCGACTGGAATGTTTGGTAGAAATAATTCAGCAAGATCGCCTTCGTGTCTAGGACGAGATGGAAGTTTTTGACGCGGTGTATCGGTAGGGTTTATGCACATTTACATATTTATAAAATTCTGCCTTTGTATTTCCAAGTTTGTACCGTAATAAGTTGAAATTTAAGTACAGTTGGGGATCGGAGGAATGTACTCGACAAAAACTGGACCCTACGGATACTAAAGAACTGAGAAAAATCCTTAAAAAGCCACTGCAACATGTCAGATTTCCATTAATGGATTCTGCCAAGTTTGCACTTCATGTCGCGACGAAGAACATTTTGGACATGGAGGAGTCCATGGCTCTACTTATTTGCTTTCTTGTTCCTCCAGAACAAAGGTATTAGATATATATATATACACCGTGTTACGAACGAATCCAGAGCCGGATTTGATCGATCGGATCACTGTTACATTTATAAGTATGTCCATACTTAGGACTTTAGTTATCATTGTAGTCACAAGATGGCAAATTCATCGTTTGACCCCTAATTGCATAATCTGTCCGTTTAAATATTTCTTAACATGCTAAACCTGACATGATCCTCAACAGGCGACAAAAGTTAGATTATCACCAGTATATTTTCCAATAGGGGTGCAATCCCACAGGGTAGGTTTTCGTCGACTCCAAGGGCACAACTTTTGTCAAAGCTAGTTACAGATAATGAGGACCCGAACTCCTCAGATTGAACACCTGAGGAACCAATAAATTTTGGGTAATTGCTTATTTATTATTATGTAGGTATGTATAAATATGTATATACATATGTCAAATTAAAGTAACATTGCTACAACAGAAGCAGCAACTTTGTGGCTCAGCAACAAACAGAAATTCATCCATTGGGAACCTATTCTCCAATGTTGAAAACGCAGAAACACCTCCCAACACAACTGACAAAACAATGGGTTACATCAAATTTTAGGAACACTTCAAATAAAAATAACTAAAATTTACTGAAAATTACTAAAATTAAAATAATGTTAATTTTTTTAAACGTTACGTTAAAAATGTCATCCTTGAACTCCATGAAAGAACTTAATGTAAGAAATCCTTAAAAAATAAATTGTCATTGTACATATGTACAGCATATACACACATTGTATGTTTCTTATCTCAACTAGAGGTATCCTTAAAATCTGTAGTATTTCTACAGATTTTTACAGATTTTTCGGAAAAGAGAGTCAAGGATAACGCAAGTCATGCATACACTGTTAGAAATCCGGTATAGTCACGCAGGTATTGATTTCTCGGGATTAAAGTTGCTACCGCTTGGTATTAAAATTATACCGGTGAGTAAAAATTTGATACCGATATTGTAAAACTTTAATACCGGGTTATTACCACACGGTATTATTTATCAATACCACGTTGGTAGAGTCATATATGAATACCGCCTGGTATTATTTTAATACTGGATTTCTAAGAGTGTACCTGTTCTAAAGAAATTTCATTAAAAGTTAATCATTCTGATGTAAATGAACATATTTTCAGTCGTATTCTTTCATATTCACTTCATTTCTAATTTCATGGTGCATCAGATTAAAAACGAAAGGATGAGAATTTCTTTCATTCAAGTTTATTAATTTTCACTCACATCAAAGGAGATTAATAGCCGCCGCTCACTATGGTATGGTAACCGGAACCTATTTACGAAAAATATTTTACAAAAAATCTTTGAAATATTTACGAAATAAATATGTGCGAAAGAGTACTTTCATAAAATTTATATTTTTACATGTAATACTCTAGATTTTTTGTGGTCAAATTTATCCGAGTAAAAATATTTCGTCTCACACCATTGGAATTTTTAAAGAAGAAAATCTTACGTATTTACGTTAATTTTATTGATAAGCTTTTACTACCTTTTACATACCGGGATAGTTGAGTTTTCGTTAATAACGGGTATTAAGCATTTAAATAATGCGGAAATGTTTACATATGTAGGTTCTTATGTAAGTACCTACATATGTGTAGTAACAAATAATTACATATCAAATAAGGATTTCTTACACCATATCTTTATATTTAATTCCCTCCCGACTAACATCCAAATTAATGCACTTTTATCCTCCAACGGATACATGGACGACATTACGCAAATTTATTTGTCCAACATTTCAATTGTAAACTGTAACCTTCATCGGTGAATTAGATCAGGAAAAATTAAAACTGCATGGAAATTAATCTTAATTCAACAACTTACAGATGGTTAGCCACACAAAAAATGTCATTTTCGAATATTTATTTATTCCATCTTTATACATCAATTAATAATTCCAAAAGAAATTACTACAATACGAAATCACGTATTACAATTGCATCATTGTAAATTTAATCGTTCACCGTCATCCTTTTGATGTGATGCAGCGCTGCCGCAATGCTGCCCCTCCTCGCGCCAGAATGTTCTGGCGCATGCGTGGGGACTGGGTCATATTCATACGCCTTTTCACCCATCTGCATACTATCAATCCCTGCGCCGGCCGTGTGCGAATTAACGCGAAGTTTCAACCCCGGAATTTTATTCATCACGAACAAAATCGCAAAAGTGACAAAGACGGACCACACGGTCGCAGCACCACAACCAGCTAACTGGTAAACGATTTGAATCCAGCGGGCTTCAATCCCATCCAACCACCCGCCTGGAATAGCACTCATCCCGTCCAAACCGGTGATATCGTTTTGTGCAAATATTCCGCACAGAATGGTCCCCAGACCGCCGCCCACGCCGTGAATTGCAAGAACATCGAGGGCATCGTCAACAGAGACGAGTTTCTTTAACTGAACGGCGGCACGACATCCGACAGCGCCAAGAAATCCGAATGCGAGTGAAGCAGCGGGTAGGATAAAACCGGAGGCTGGAGTTACTGTCACCTGCAAGATAAATAATTTGATGTTTGAAAAATTTGTTTTCGGAAATGTACATATGATTGGAAAATTCTAATACAACATTTACGTATGAGAAGCTTAAAAATTTGCAAAGTAATCAGATAATTAAATTGCTAAATTTTCATTTTTAAACAAATTTCCAAAATTTTGGGCAATTAATTCTGAGTACCAGAGAAATTACTGTTCTTCAAAAAATAGAGACAAAAAGGTACTTGTGTAAGTTTTTCTGAATTTAAATTTTTGTCGTGTGCCATGTAAGAAAATTCTGCCAGATAACCTATCATATTTTTTCTTAAGTTGTTGAACCAACAGTAAAATAAATTTTCACTTTATCGACTAGATACCAGTTTCAAAATTTCTTTAAAATATGGCATACAAAATTTGTAAAATTCATTAACTTCGAATTATGAAACTCAATTAAAGCTTGTAAGTTTTCAAAAACTTACAAGTCCACTGATCGCCCCGAAACAGAAGCTCAAAGAAGAAAACTTCTTATCCCTCGCGTAATCCATCAGCGCCCACGTGACTGCACCCACACAAGCGGAAATATTTGTGTTGCAGACAACAATCGCGGCCCGAGTATTTGCCCCCATCGCTGAGCCGCCGTTAAATCCAAAGTATCCAAACCAGATAAGCGACGTTCCCAAGATGACTTGGACGATGTTGTGTGGCTTGGCGTCCTTAATATGATCTTCTCGCTCCTCCAAAAGCCACGCGTACACCGCCGCACTCACGCCCGATGCGAGGTGAACGGGAAGGCCGCCGGCGAAGTCGAGGCCTAAAATGCAATGGATAATTTACTCAAAAATTTACCACGTGAGTTCAGAGTTGCAATGCGAAACAAAGACGTTGACGTGAATACGCCTAATATCTCGGTTAAAACTAAAATTGGAAATTTCGCTAACATGTTAATACAAGTTGTTTATGTATATATATGCATTGAAAGAATAAGTAACTGCAAATTTTTGAAAATCACTAATTTCGCTAGAATTTTGATAACATTTTCAAAATTGCAAAAACAAATTTGAGTACGAAAAATACATTAAACAGCAAATATGAAAAGTTGAGCATATTTAAGTATTCTAATTGATTTCGATAATGCAAATGATTATGTAACTCACCTCCTAGAACGAAGTACCACCCATTCGGACCCCACACCCAGTAGCAGATGAAGTCATAAACTAACGTTGTCCACAGAAACATGAAGAGAATTGTTGGTAGAAATCGACCCCTTTCCGCCGTCGAGCCAATAACGAGGGCTGGCGTAATTGCTGCAAACATTCCTTGGTAAATGCAAAACAAGATTTCTGGAATTCTAGGGTTTGCTTCAGACGGAGCATCAGCCACGCCCATGAGGAAGGCTTTGTCGAAATGACCAATTATCTCGTTCCCCTTGTTACTGAAGGAGAGAGAATAGCCGAACAGGAACCACTGCAGAAATAATGTTACCAAATTTTTAAAATGATAAGGCTACATGCATAAATATTTAAATGATTTGCATACGTAAAAGTTGCAATTAAACCAGAATTTTTACAAATTTATCACCCTTTTGAACGTGACAATAACAAATTAACCATTTATTTCGAAAATCAGGTTTAAGAACCCTTCAGAAATTTAGGTAACGGCTAAATGCTAAATTCGGTTTAGGAGTTCATGAAGCAGGTGCTGTTAAATAAATATGTATGTATATGCAGCAGATTGATTTTATAATTTCGCCTATGTATTTCACAAAATCACACAGTTTTTATGCATACTGCTTGGCAAACAAATAAATAATTTCTTTGCCTTCCTAAGTTTTCTGAGCTCCCCTGGTTTCGAAAAAAACATAAATATGTAAATACATATGTCAGCTCGCATAAAATTTGCATGAAATAATGCATCAGCTTCAAGCTGGAGTAAACTGTTGGCAATTTTATCGCCATTAACTTTCCTACATACATTAAGCAATCCTCACCAACTTCTTATTTAAGTACGTCGCCACATTTTGTAAACTTTCTTATACATTTTCTGTTCATTCAACTTCTAATTCATTCCTTTTTCAAAATCATCACTTATTTTTCTCAAATCTTCACTACCTCCCACACACAAATTTGAACATAATTCCCCCAACTCACCTGCACCGAAACAATCGCCGTCGACCAAAGACACAGCGACAGTAAGGAAAGGGCACTCTTACTCCTGGCCATTCCGCAGTAGAGGAACCCCACCCCCGGCACCATCAGCCACACCATCGCCGTCGACACCAAGGTCCACGCCGCATCGCCGGGTGCATACGTGTAAGCGACCACTTCGTCATCTTCCTTCAATCGTATCGTCACATTTTCAATCCAATCCGTGTCGTTTTCAAGTCGGAAAATTTCTTCCATTTTCGAAATTTCGAAAATTTAGTACACCAAAAAACTCTCTCTCACGCGTGGAAAGGGTGACCTTAACGGAATGACGAGCTGGCCGGACCCACCCGCAAAGTTTTAATTTCAATGCCAATTATCATCAGTTAGTGGTAATTAGGACAATTTAAAAGTTTAATGTGCCAATTTTTAAGGATGGGACGAGCGTAATAGCATAATAATCATATCGTGGTTTTTTACCGTCTAATGAGCCTTTGCCCGTGCATGGCTCGTGCTAATTTTGACGAGACACGAACTGGAGTGCTTTCAATTTACAGTGTTACACAAATGGGTCAAATTTATGCTGGAAATTGAAACTAATAAGTATCTATATGCATATATACATATGTATAAATATCGTCGTGTATTAGCAATATAAATTAGTGCTCGTATGCTGGGTTTTTGTGTGCCAAATATTTTGCATTTGGCCAAATTTGGAAATTTTGGAAATTAATTTTTGAATTTTGCATTGTAAGGTTATCAAATTAAAGAAAATAGAGCTCCTCAATTCTATCCCGAACCTTAACGCGTAAATAAATTCATAAATATTGTTATGAAGAAATTATACGTACATATGTACATATATAAATATTTTGGGGGTATTCACGCCAGCAATGGAAACATATTTTTTTTGTAAAAAGTGTATTTAGGTATATAAACTAGCGGAAAGGCAGCTTTTCAGCTGAAAAACTGAATTTGAGCTAAAAAATTTTCATTTTTTTCAATTTCTAAAAAATTAATTGAACGAAATTGTAATAAGTATGATTGACGATTAACAAAATTTATGTACACATCGTATGTACATACTAAGAAATATTGCACGAAATGCTTCATCAAGTGCGTGAAAATAAATATTTACAATTTCATATAAAATTTTAAATTGTAAATTTTAAATTGTAAACCCTCTTTCTTTGAATAGTCGTGCCTATCTTGTTGGTAGGTTCCTGCCACAAATTTATACCATGTGCTAACCAAGCCCTCTTGTAAACAAGTCGCAGTTATTTCCAGTCAAAATATTTAAATTTCAGTGATTAATTTAATTATTATCTTCGTACCCATTTTCTTAACTACGTAGACATAGCACGAGAATTTATTGCTATTGTCTCATCCGTCATTGTTATTACTTTTGGCCAAATATCGCTTATTGAATAACGCCTGATTCGTATTCCACGACTTATGCAAAATTTTACTGAACAAACGTCATAAAATTTCAATTTGACTTCATACGCACCTCATAACAATTTTTATTACTTTTGCTTTCCTTGAGAAGTTTTTAAACATGTTGTTGCTTAAATCGTCCCTTTTCCTTTCAAAGTGTTAATTTCTTTTATTACGGTGCTAATCAACCTATTAAAGAAACATAAATGCAAATCTTGTTTAGTGATGATTATGATACTTGTCTTTTTTAACTTAAAAAATAAGGTGTGGATCATGGAACCATGTATGTATTTAACTGCTCATATTTTACGTACATATGTATAATGTACATTTATTCATATTTTAAGTTGTATCATACAACTGGTATGTATGTATATATGAAGGAAACTTGATAAGTACAATTACATAAGTATTAGTTCTCTTCATCAACGTATTGTACTGAAAAAAACGAAAAATTGGATTACTTTATAAATTTATTGACGATCTACAAATTATTGATTTTGATCAGATGATGACAATTTCATTTAATTAAAATAATGATTGAGATGTTTATTTTCATATGCAACAACGTGAATCAAGAGAATTGAGCAAACATCCGCTAACTACATATGTATATCCCCGCATTTCAATGTGTAGGTAAGTGATATAGACTCAAACTACGTATTTATTTCTGCACGGATAACTCAGAAAAGCACACATGGATAAGTATGTATCTAAGGACCAACATGTACATTTGTGCATAAACGAATCCAATGAGTTTTCATATAAGTAGTTTACATACATATAAATAAATAACTTTGCTGGGCTGATGACTGATCAATTCATATACTTTATTCAAACCTACTGTTAATTAAAAATTTCACACATTGAGTATTATGTACTATGGTCTCTTGCGTCCATATGGAGCTGGGTAACATGGCCTATTGCATCAACTTACATAGTATGGTTTTCTTTTGGCTCATTCCATCTGAACCCACACGATCGTCGTCGCACCCATATTTGATATCTTGTCCACAATCATATCATAGTTGCATAATGTAAAATAAAACATGTCATAAAAATCAAAATTTGAAAATTAATTTTTTTCGTAAAGATATAGCATTTAAAAGAAAATTTGCAAATGCATTGAAAATGCTTTCGTCGGGTAAGTGTTGGTTCAAAGGGGTAGGTTACATTTACAGATTTCATTCATTGATCATTCTTTGCTATGAAAAATTTTAAAAAATTTAAAAATTCAAAAAAATCTGAAATTTGAAATGTATTTAAAAACTCGATTATCGAGAAGACGGACAAGAATCGCTCATTGAGAGATAAGCCAATCGATGCCTTTGGGCCTGAGGAAGCAAAAAAGTTTAAAACCCCACGCGATTTTTGTCCGTCTTGGAGTTTTGTCAATTTTTCGAAAAGGTAAAATTAATATGGGCTGTTTGTGTAGACAGTAGTAAATAATTCTGTGTTCCTACGTGGCCGGGAATATTGACAAAGTGTGAGTTGTGTAGTGTTCTCTTGCAAAAGAGAGAAAAATACATGGCCAGGCAACCACCACCAGGGAGCAGGGTTTAGCACCTCTATTTTCTGGTACTCGATCAAACGTGTTGCTTACAAATGGAATGAGCCTTTTATCACATATACAAATACATATTTAAATTAATATGTACCTGGGTACGTAGGTGTTGCCGAATAATATTTATTTATACATTGTGATGATCATTATCACCACAGTGCAAAATTCCACGACGTTAATTTAAATTAATGTCGCATAGTTTAAACAATGCGAAATAATAAGAATTGATTAGATATTTATTACGAGTACGAATGTTCGCATTACAGCATTTTTGAAGATAATTTACGAACTAAATATTTATTAAGTAGCCTTGGAGATCTTCAAGTTCGCAAATGAATTTTCAAATACATAGGATTTTTGGTTGCTTTGTTCTTTTAGCGATACGAACTCGTCGTGAATACTTTCAATAACTGGTAAAACGACTAATTCAGTTTTATTTAATAATGATCATTTCAGCATATCACAGAGTTTGCACAGTCACAAATTGTGCATGTTATTTACAAACTAATTAAAGCGTTTAACTCACAGGGAGGAACTACCCACATGAATGATTTAAAATTGTATTTCAAGCACTAGAGCTATAGTAAGTAGCTCATATTCTGTATAAAATCCTACTTTAATGTTGATTTTATCGGCCTGAATTGTAATTATTTTCATAGTTATTTTGCTTTGTCGGCAAATTAAAGATAGTAGAACATGTACAGAAGATCTAAAAAAACTTGACTGATATATACTAAAACAATGCATACATATGTATTTACCTATGTGTACATACGTACATACATTTATCTGTATTTAAAACAGTATATGCACTTAAAAGTTCGTAAGACTGCATATACAAAATGTGTACAATTACATTTGTCACAAGTCGCAAATAAAATGTGCCTCTGATGCTGGAAACATTTACAACAATTCCATATCATTCACTGGGCGAGACAAAAAAATCTTGAAAACTTTTGATAAAAGCAACCCCATCAGGAATTTTGGTGGAAAATATATAGGAAAAATGGTAGCCTTTTACCACGAACCACGGTTACTAAAACATGGTTAATTACACGTATAAATCTCGGTTTAATTTCCACCGTTGTCAACCCCTCAATAAAGTCTACATAAATATAACTGTGGGAATTTGGTTGAGTTTTGGCACAAATCCTAGCATGAAATAATAGTAGAAGTAGCGTAGATTCACACCGTTGTTTTCCACCAAAAAAGTCAACAGAAAATTCTCGTAAAATTCCACATTGAGTTTTGCTCTCTCTTGGGAGCGCGTGCATTTTCTTACTTCATTTTTATTCAACGTGTTCAAAATGTCTGACTCATTAAAGTTTTCAATTTTACAAATTGACGTCAAGGGGACGAAATTAGTTGAAATTGTACCACTGTCATGGATTGACGAGACAGAGAAGGTGGTATGTTGGCCCCCAGCAGCAAAATTAAAGAGTTTGTCTAAAAAAGGCTCCTCCCTCCCACTCCCATCATGGCGACAACAAAATTTTGAAAAAATCTTAGGAAAATACGGTAATTGTATTCACTTATTTACTTGGCCATTAAATTATTTTTAATTTCTATTTCCTAAACAAATTTTTATTTTAGCCTCTTGGGAAATTGCATGTGAAAAGCTGAAGGTGGCAGAGGAAACTTCCAACATTGAGAGTGACTCCGAGGAGGAACCCCCACATCGTCGAAGAAATAACGTCCCCCAAGCATTAATTGAGGGGAATCCACCCAAAATTTCATCTGACAGTAGTGGGGAGGAGGAGGAAGGTGATATCGCCGTGGTCCCTCCAAGCGTAACTTTGGATTCTGAAGGTACAATTTATTTTTCTAAATATATGTACATATTTTTACCTGATAATTGGGTTATTTACAAATATTTGTTTTTCAAGCCACTCCTCCAAATCATCCTCCCGACTCGGAAGTACAACTCGTGAATGAGGAAGGTGGCGCAATTTTGCTGACTTCCTTCCAAGAAATACAAGATTTGAAGAAATTAATTCTAGGTAAATATTTTACATTAATTAGTAATTCCAACATTTATATTATTATGAGCAATCATTGTTTATTCTACATATTATGCAGGCTTTCAAAAACAGTGTTTTGAAATTTTGGAAAGACAAAATATTGACATAAAAGATATTAAATCTGTTCTTCACAATCTGAAGGCGACAAACGGCGATGGACCTACAGCTGATTTTTCCGTCATCCCCACTCATCCACTGAACAATAAAGAGGAACTGGATATCTTAGAAAACTGGATACGTGATGCAAAGGCCAACCGTGATACTCTGGTAAGATAATTAAAATCAAAATACATGAACGCTTTTGATGAACAATTATAAATTGTTATGCAAGTCGTTCGTTAACGACATATATAAATTCTCGATTATTTTTATAGATTGATTATTTGGCTTTGACTGGCGGTAAAACTCCTCAAAAAAATGTAAGGAAATTGTACAAGAAGTTTTTCGTTTTTTCGTTTGCTCGTCAAATAAATTGGACTGGAAAGGGGGGGAAAATTTCACTAAAACCACTAGAGTTCTTGGGGGTTGTGAAAGGTAAATAAACTATTTTATTGGTTGTGTTCGTACACTAACGTACATTTCTATGCGCGCAACTTGTTATAATAATAATTCTGTTGTATTTTACAGAAGCTGTTCGTAGAAAGCACAATACAGCTACTGACGACGATATTGAAAGTGTGTCGAAGGATTACTTTCGCTTCCTAAAGGAGTAATTGCACAATGAGTCTCATAGAAAGAACGGGATCATCTCCAAGAAATATTCGTCGAATCGTTTCAAGAAGAGTGCAAGAAAATATACAAAATGCTTCATCAAGTCATGCTGCAAATATATTAGAAAATAATAATCGTGTTGTAAATAATTTAATAGTCAACGGTGAATGTACCAATGACAGTTCTGATAGCCAGAGTGATAATGTTAGCGATAGTGTAAATAGTAGTTCGTCAGAAAGTTTGAATCATTCAGAAGACGATTTAATTAGTTTAAGAGATGAACTTAGAGATTGGGCAATTAATCAAAATATAACAGGGATCGCAATTCAAGAACTTTTACGAATACTAAAAAAACGTAAAATATTTAATTTTTTACCAAGCGATCATAAAACTTTACTCAGGGCAAACAAAAGCAGATTTCTTAAGCATATTTATGAGGACGGTTCACAGTTTTGTTATTTTGGCCTTGAGAATTCGTTAAGAAAGCAGCTTCTTCATGAGTTAATTGAACCTTCTGAAGCAGTATTAGATATTTCAATCAGTGTAGATGGTCTTCCAATATCAAAAAGTAATTCTAATCAATTTTGGCCGATTCAGGCAATTTGTTCACAAAGTAAGTTTGGCGTTTTCTTGATAGGGATTTATTATGGCAAAACTAAACCACAAGATGTTTCTGAGTATTTTAAAGATTTAATTGAAGAATTAGCCTTGCTTAGTACTAGCGGATTTTATATAAACTCAAAGAAATATCTCGTTAAATTATCTAAGATTATAGCTGACGCCCCGGCAAGAAGTTTTGTAAAGCAATGCAAAAATCATAATTCTTATCATGGGTGCGAAAAATGTATAGATAAAGGCACCTGGAAAGGAAGAGTTATTTTTGAATCGTTTGACGCCCCACTAAGAACATTTGAATCTTTCAAAAGTCAGTCATAATTTCGCTAATCAACTAATGCTATTATTTGTGAAAAAAGTTAAAGAACTTTATTCTCAAGAATTTTTAGTGTAAAATGTACATAATTTAATTCACATTTCTGCCGATGCATTGAAGTTTGGTCCCCTAGATTCTTTCAGTGCATTTCCTTGAAAAGAAAATGAAAATAATTATGAAAATAATATGCAATACATCAAAAAGACTTTGAGATCATCGTACAAGCCATTTGAACAATGTGTCAATCGAATGCATGAAAGGGAGCAGAATTTTCTAACAAATAATTCTAACAGGATTAGTACGCAACCTTTAAAGCTCAATAACGCTAATAATTGTTTTAGGTTAAAGTCTGGTGATTTCGTAGTAATATGCAAAAAAATGAAGGAAATATTATTTATAGAAAATTTAAAAAGTGCGATGAGTATTATACAAACCCTTGTGTAAGTTCTACTGTAAATGTATATAAAGTAAGGAAATTGTCAAAGAAATGTACAACTAGTTTTAGCTCAATTGAAACTAAATGTTGGTTAATGCCTGTTAATAATAATGAGTTCGTTGTCCGCCCATTATGTAATTGGGCATTAAATTCTGTGTAGTTTGATTATATGTAATACTTAAAAAATAAACTTTATATTTAAAAATTAACTTTGAAATATATCGTTGATTCCAGATATTGTCAACCGTGGTAAATAACCTAAAAATCACCTATTCCCACCGTTGTATTAATGTATAAAACAACCGTGGTGTTATTGTAGAAAACTACGTGAAAACAACCATGCATGCGTTGTTGAATAAAACGTAAATTTCTACGTGAAAAGCACCGTGGTAATATGGTAGTGTTATTTGTTGAGTTCCGCATAAAAAAAGCGGCCATCAGTCACTACTTTTCCACATTGTTATTTTTGCGTGGTTTCCACGATTTTTCCTGATGGGGAAATCTAATCCTAGGTTACTTTTCCTTGGACTCCTTTTTATCTGCAGAAGGGCCATCACATCAGGGACAAACACACACAAAATGTCACCCGAATTTTTGCTGTTCTGTTACACACTAACGTGTCGATAGGTCACAAGCAACCAGTTGCCACGGAAGCCGTGGGGATATCGGGGACATTAATATTTTCGGACAGAGAAAGGAAGGAATTATAAAAGATGGGCAATAAAATATTATGCAGACATAAAATAACAGTAGGACATGGTCCGCCTGTCCCCATGCTTCCGGGTCACTGGATTGCAACTCGAGCAAATTTTCCATGCTGGAAAATTTCTTCTTCTCGTGCACAGCTTCACACTTATAAAATATTGGTTATATTTTATAGCAAATTTCACACATTTTATCTATATTCTAAATAAAAATAAATAAAATTTACTCAAAAAAAGAAGATGTAAAGAAGATGGCACAACCAAAAAGGTAAAACTTATCCAATATTGTGCAAAATTTATCCACCCGTTTGACAAATTTGATACACCTTTGCGTAAATTTTGCACAAAGTTGTATAAGTTTTACCTTTTTGGTTGTGCCATCCTCTTTTTTTACTCGGCCTTGAGAAAAAAAATACTAAACCTTGAGTAAAATAAGTAAATTTTAATTATATTTATTTACAGTGTACTGCTTAGAATGGAGGTCGACGTCCCCGATAAGTCTTATTTCGTATCCTAAGCCTTAGAATATTCGGCGTTGATTTCCGGCTTGTAATATTCCATTTCTTCAGAATTTATTAAAATTGCGGTTGATGACCTCATATTTCCTTCCCGGTATCCAGTACCCGGTGATTCCCCGGATAATTTCCAATTTCTGATGCAGCACCGAATTAAATATCCCAAGACAAGACCCACCGTGAGCATGACGAAAACACTCTGTTTTTCGAAATTATGCCCGATCAAGACATCATTTGAGTAGAATATCTCATCAAAACTTCTACTGCAAATGATCCCATCTTCTCCACTGGTTGGTTTCACGGAGTGAAAAGTCACCACAAAATTTGGGTTGGTATCCGAATAATGAAACTTGACAAGATCCCCGTCCTCCTGATAGGAAAAATAGTTGCTCGAAGTATTATGCTCCCCAAAATTTCCGAACGGACCCAGCCCCGAAATTGTCATCCAGGTCAAATTCGACGCCACGTTGGAAACAATTTTCCAGTCGGGATCCACCAGCTTGGAATTTCTCCCAATAATCCCGTCCTCCACGGTCGCATCGATGGACAGGAATTTGGGCAAATCCACCTTTGGGTTCATCATTAACGTAAATTCGTCCCCGGAGGGGATGACCAGTGACCAAATCGTCCTCTCGAAGGTGAAATCATGTCCCGCGTGACAGTTAAAAAAAGATAATTCCACGCCGTCGTCATCGTCGGCGGGTGACTCATCATATTTTCTTGCGGCCTCCTTAATTTCGAGGTCAACAAGGAGCAGCGTGTCATTGGCCACGTGGTCGTGGACCTGACCCGCACTAAATTCTACCCTATCAACCCCCTCCGTTAACCTCTCCTTGATCCGGTCCCCTACTGGGGAAATTTTATACAGAAAGTTTGACTCGTCCAAAAACCCGGCAGGTTTCGTGTAAACGCGTTCCTCCGTTAAGTTTGTGTGCCACGTGGCCGCTTCGACCCTCGTCTTGTTCACGCACTCGCTCAAGTCGCGACCGAATTTGTCAAAGTAGTCGACGTAAATATAGCTGTTGGGGGGATTAATTAGGCGATTCTTGTCGAAATTGAAGCACGTCACGGGCAGCAAGTGGTACGTGTCGGGGTCTTTGTCGGATTTCTCTAAACGGATAAAGCGACCCCATCGTGGCGCTGTACTGTTAAAAGTCTCGTCTTGCGTTTGCAAGTAGTACGTGTTGTTGGAAACGGGGACGAATTGCCACCAGTGGGAGAGGTAGAGCAGTTCGGGCCCTTGGGGAGAAGTGTGGAGGAGGGGGTGTTTTGTGGCGGTGTTGACGATTGAGTATGCTTCGTCGATCCGGAGGGGAAGCGTGTTGGAGATTAAGTCTGGAAAAAAATATATTTTTGAATTATTGAATTGGAATAAGTTGAAATTATTCATAAAAAATTATCATGAAATTTCAAGGGTATTCATGACTCCTTCGTAACCTTAGTGTTTTTCGTATTATAAAATTAGTTATGACGATTAAGAGATTTTGTAAAAGTCGTAAGATTTCGTCAGAAAAATCGTATTTTAAGGTTAAAATTTTTACGAAGCTTGACCCTTCTTTTGCTTCGTAAACTATTTTACGATAATAAGGATACGAAGAAATAATGAATACCCTTATTTTAAAATTATCTTATTTTTTTATTGAAAATCATTAATTTTTATACCTATGATATATTTTTCTTGTGGCAGGGATATTACAGACGTTAAGAGCAGTGTGCTCATAAAGATAACATGATTTTCCAGGTAAGTCGACATAACCGAGTGGAGTTTATTCCTTGAGTAAGTTTGAATCTGTAATGGAATAAAAAATATGTATGATATTAGAAAATATATGATTAAAATTTATACCCTGGCCAGAATTTAACGAAGGTTACAAAGCTTCATAAATTTAGGCAAGATTGACGCGTCTTTTTTGAAAAAAATATTTTGTAAGAATTAAAATTTACGGGATTTCGAGCACTATTTTTACCTAAGCTATTGGGTAAAGACAAATGGAGAATTTTTTTTCGAAAAAAACGTTACGAAAGTGTAATTTATTTATGAAAGTTCTTTCACGTCAATACTTTGTAACTTGACAAATTTTTTTCACGAATCCACAATTGTGAAAGTCGTGAAAACCCCCAATATATTTTTGACTAAATTTCTCTTTAATAAAGGTAAAATTGTTTAGAATTAGTACCAGAAGGGAAAGTACTTATGAAAGATTCACAATTCTTCCCAGCCGTTTCTTTCACAGAAATCGATAAATATCGATTTTGATTCTCTACACGAGCTGGATTACGACTGTAACGTTTTTATGCACATAATACATTTTTCATCAAGTAATATGTACGTAAATACATGAGATGCATCCCGTTGGTTTTTAGTGGTTGAGTAAAAAACGTTCAAAATTGAAGGAACAACTAAGATGTAAATTGCTCATCTTTAAAAATACGGAAGTGGAAAGCCATGAAATTCGCAACTTTGGGATCATCTTATGCATATATACATACACATGTACTCGTATACAGTATCCTCTTACTTAGGTGTGTCACCTTCCTTTGCATAAATCTCACTATGCCTATTTTGGGCGATATGGGCTTTCCATGTGTTGACTAAACTCTGTATATCTCGAATGTGCCAAAATATGCAAATGAAGTGACCAGCTATAAAAATTCGACAGTCAATATGCACAAATTCTGAGGTACGATTATTCGCGAAATTTACCAAAAATTACGGAAATATGTATTTAATTTTTACAAAATGTTTGCGAAATATTTATAAACAAAAAACAAAAATATGAATTGATTGTATTTTTGAATTTAAGGCTCCGGGTTTTTTTGGTACAATTTTTTATGAAAAAAATCGTCTCGTATCGTTGAAATATTTACAAAATGTACTCAACATACTTTACATACTTCTTTTATATATCAAAAAAAATATATAAAAAATATTTTTTTTGGGAATTTTTGGACCTCTAAAAGTTAGAGAATGTACACACAAAGTTTCGGTCGTCAACAAAATAAAAAGTTAGAAAAAATACATATCCGCGCTCTGCGTATACATATGCAGTGCCTACTAAAATGAGGGAACATTCAAGATGCTATAATAACTACGCAGAAAATATGAAAGTACGTATAAAGCCTATCAATTTGTACTAAATACCACACAAATATGTAACCCAAACAAATCTTACAAAATTTAAATTTAACCAGGATTGAATAATGTCTCTACTCCACCTATCTTAATAATAACTTACTTACTTGCAATATTTAGTAACTTAATCGACAAATACAAACCCAGAAATCCACCACTGCTAAAATTAACCGTTTTATTTTTAACACGAAAATAACTTTTTCACCAACGAATGAACAAGACGGCAATGACTGTTCATAAGTTGCGTAAAAACGGGTAAACATTTCTGGCTGCTGCCAAGTCATATACATTCATTTCATGGTATTATGACTCACTCATCCTCTATGAATCCAGATTCGACTCGGGCTGGTTCTTCATACATAAAGCAGCAAATGTGTAGCTGATAAAATTCTCATGAAGCCGAACGAGCACGAAAGTATGTATGTGCAGATGTTATACGACGCTACCCAAATGCAAATGTTTTCATAACGTGGGGTACAATCCTCGCGGACCAGTTTGCAGTTAGAGACAGTACACCATTCGTGCTGATTAAAGAAAGACATGCATTTTATGTACAGCCTTATGCACATTGAGGAAAAATGTTCGATTTATTATAGTGGTTAAGGTGCTTACGTATTTAGCTGAGAGCAAATTATTCGGTATTCGTCATTCATGACAAGCTTATCCTTAAGTTTTATGTACATATGTACATATGTAAATATGTCCCCACAGACAGATCGAGTCATGTGCTTATGAGACACAAGTAGAATTTGTATATTGTGATCTGCAGTCAAATCCCATGAGTGAATAATGTTGCCGGTATAAGGCTATCATAGCTTGTTAGGTCTCTTAGACGAAGCAAAGACGTCATACATATGAGGTACCATAAAAATTTTAGTTGCATACCAAATACTCACATCTCGTATTAAGGATGGGTCAACAACTCGACCGATCTTATCCATCGTCGAACTTAACTCCTCATAAATATGTAGTACGTTATGAGTCAAATTTCATATTGTATAGGCAAATTTTGTCTATTGTACTCAATTCGTTGGACCATAAATGTATCAATGGAGTTGGAGATTGATAAAAGTTTATGTGGGTGAGCGCTAATACATGATCTATGATTCTACTGTAATATTATAATTCAAAATTTTGTGAGATCCTTAAGAATTTCGATATATGTTGCAATTTTTAATTATGTCAAGACATACTTATTAATTCCAGATTACGAATTTGGGATTGAGGTTAGGATTTGGGATCAATTATTCCTTAATCTTAATCTTCAATCCCAAGTTTTAGAATTGTAATACTTAATCCCTGATATAACTTTCACGCTATCAATTTTCAAGTAAAATTTGAATGGGATTAAGTTTACGTTGAGTGAAGTATTGAAATGCTAGTTTATCTGAAATACCTCCCAATTCGAAGATTAATTCCATTTTGCTTCCTTATTTTTGACCAGAGATTTGGGTAATATCTTGAATTATTTATCTGCATTGGGGGTAACTTAACAATTTACAATCATATAATTAGTACATGATTTGTACACATGTAACCACAAGCTTTCATTGATTTAAAACCAGCTATCTAAAGCTGCAGATTATTATGTAGGTAGCGGAAAGAACGCAATCTACTTTTTGCGATCGGTTTGTTCACCTGTCTGTCTGTCAGCATATACATAACTTTCGAACGAATTAATGTTCTTAGTTCTGATTTTAAATATAGATATATATTTCTAAAAGTATTAGGGATTTCGTTAAATGACTTTGTATATAGGTCAAAATTTCACAACGACAATGAAATCAAAGGTATAAAACGTGTATTTTTTTTTTGTTATTGTGGTGATTTGGGGTGGGGTGGGGATTTCAGAAATCACCATCGCCTCATGGCATCATGACGACCTCGTGACCAGGTGAACGAGGTAAAAAAAACGTTGAATTTTCGCATTTTAAAGCATTTGATGCATATCGAAAATAATTTTCTGCATTTCGTTCAAGCTAGTTCTATATATCTGTTGCTGGAATTTACTAAATCCGTGGCTTCATGCTCTGGTCTTCCCGTCATAAAATTAGCAAACTATTTACATATATCTTATATTACAAATGCAGAAATTCACATAATCATAACCGCGAAAAAATAAAATTTCCTTAATTTACGGGAACTCCGGGTCAGCAGGCATAATCTATCTTATCGGTTCACCTAAATCCTCATTGATTAGGATTTCCAGGCTAAATCTGTCGCATAAATTCCCCATTATATTTACATTATATGATTAAATTCATATCAACTACGTGATCAAACCCATATAAAAAGAGATCTCATCCCCACCCTAAATATCAGTTCATCTTCCACTACTGACCTATTCAATTATGAAGATTCAAGTCCTCCTTGCCCCCCTGCTGACATTGGTCGCAGTCGCATTGGCCGGAAAAATCGACCCATCCCTACAGAATGCTGTCACATTGGGACTAACATCCACCGCAATTCTCGAATTGCCCCAAGTCATCGACCAAGTAAAATCCAACCCGTCCCACCGCTCGCTCTCGGGCGATGCTAAAGTCGCCTCTCTCGTGGCATCCCTTCGCGGGCTGACTTCCGCCGCGCAAGCGCCCCATGTCGCCGTCGCTGCTTCCCTCGGCCTAGAAACTAAACAATACTGGATCTCGAACGTCATCGTGATTAGGGGAGTCACACTTTCCACTTTGTCTCAACTTGCCTCCACCCCTGGCGAATTTACCCTCCGAGAACAAGGAACTGCCCAGCTTGTCGGGGACACCGAGCCGATCGAGGTCAACGTTCAGCTGCAGAATCCACAATGGGGTGTGGCCAAAATCCGGGCGCCCGCCGTGCACAATATCACTCAAGGAGAAGGCATAGTCGTGGGGATTATTGATACAGGGGTCAACTTGGGTCACGTCGCGCTTGCGGCAGGATACGCGGGTGCGTGGTTGGATCCTTATGACAATACCCCAGGACCAACGGACTACAGGGGTCATGGGTCGCACGTGGCGGGAACGGTTAGCTGCAAATATATTAAGCGGGGGAAATTGAGATTCGGATATATCTCTTAGAGCTCCGCTAGTCTGATTCTGAATCCGAAGCCATGGCTTCGTCAACTCCGAATCTGAATTCGGGGTTTTCGGATTCGAATCCGAAAATCCGATTCGGAATCACCGGATTTCCAACTCCTGATTCATGCAGGTCACTAATATTGACATATCTATATTTTTATATTTAGGTGCTCGGACGTGCGAATGGCGTCGGCGTCGCCCCCGCCGCCCAGTGGACGGCATGTCGAGGCTTTGGGGCAGGCAGTGGCGTCGAGGAGTATCTCCTCGACTGCGGTCAATTCATGGTGACCTCGACCCCACGACCGCATATCGTCTGCAACTCGTGGGCGGGAGGTCAAGGTAACCCGTTCTTTCGCCCAGCGGTCGACGCCTGGCGGGAGGCTGGACTCATCCCAGTCTTCGCGATGGGGAATTATGGCCCCAGTTGCGGATCTGTCATGGCACCGGCAAGTTTTCCAAATGTGATCGGCGTCGGTGGGACGAACGATGTGGATGGAATGTACACATCTTCAAATAGAGGACCAACTACGACCGGACTGCTCAAACCGGACGTTTCCGCGCCGGCGGTTAACGTCTTGTCATGCGGGATGACGGCGAACGATTACGTCACGATGACTGGAACGTCAATGGTAAATAAATAAATAAATCAAATGTATTTAGCCGCCGATAAATTTGCTTATCGGCGGATCCCCGCTGCCGAAAATTGGTCGACCTCTGAGAAAAATATGACATAATCGTAGCAATATTTTGTAAAAACCGCTTTAATTTTTAGGCATGCCCACACGTCAGCGGGGCAATCGCTCTACTTCTATCGGCTAATCCGACTTTCACCTATGACGACGTTTACGCTGCCCTGACAACCTCCGCGGTACACCCACCGGTTACCAATGCGGATAAAAATTGTGGTCTTCCGGGTCCTGGAGACTTTCCAAATCAAGCTTACGGTAAGTATGTATGTAAATGCTGATGAGGACTCTTAAAAATTTTTGCAAGTTGAGAAATTCTATAATTTGTAAAAGTTTTTACGGAAATTTTGAAACATAAAATCATTTATTAAAGACTTACAAAACTTTTATATATAAATATTTAAACTACATTTTAATAAGTTTCTCATTTTTTTGCAGGTCACGGAAGGATTGACATCGCTGCTGCGTTTGGACTTTAATGTCGAAATTTATGTATCAATTTATTAGAATTTGGTACAATTTTCATAGCATTTAAACGTTACATGTAATCAAATAAATTTAAGTTTTGAACAATTTATTCCAAACAACTGTGTGTATATATTTGTATCTTCGACATATTTGTACAGGGTGGCCCTTCGTAACTCCACACTTATATGAGGCTTAGAACATACCTTTGCCCCGAACTTTGACCAGCTTTCGTAATTCTGGCATTCAAATACATAAAGTACGATGGATATTCCGAATTGGAGATAAAGTTCGGAATTTAGTTTTTTGGTCGCGCTTGCACCATTTTTTGAAATAAAAGCTGGTGCCGAGTCCTGCTGGAAGGTCCAGTCGACTCCATTGAATACGATCTCATTTAGGGGATGTACCACGGACTCAAAAACATATTTTAAGAAATTTGATTCCATCACCTTCCCCCCATTTTCTCCGAAATGTAGAGGAATTAGCCCAATTAGCTCCCACCTACCAAAACCATCATAAAACCAGGATAATATGCCTTTTTGACCTGTTGTCTATATTGGGAGATATCTTTGACCGATTTTGCGTAGATTAGGTCAGCTCGTTTGTTAAAAGATTTTTCCGATGTCAAAATCTCGTCATCTGTTAAAAAAATCATCTCTACTTTTTTGGTGCGTACCGCTTGAGGAGAGCTCTTCATTTCTTTAATCTGGCTTTCCTGTGGGGGATCGTCAGGAGTTGCCAAGTACTTCGTTGCAAAGCCCTAAGTCTAAGGTTCATTTCTAGCACTCGTTAGACAATTTGCATCAACAATGTCAGCTGTTAGGATATTTTCCGTTGAAACTTCGTGAATATCTTCGGATTCTAACCTTCAGCGGCTCCACGATGGGTGTGGTCGTTGGAGGTTTTGAAAAAATTCTTCTTCGACTGTACTTTTTTATGAAAAGAAAACACTTTCAACCGATGTTGGATGTTTTTAATCACCAGTTGTGACCGGTTTCTCAATTTTTTAATGCTTCATCAGACCTTTCACAATCAAAAATTTGGTCCCCATGAACGATTTGGTCCCCATGAACGTTTTTCTAGCTCGTTTGACTAAATTAAAGTGCACGTTCAATTCATGTCACACTTTTCAAATTCGCTATTTCTCTTCCGATTTTTTTGATGAAAAATTATCGCCGCCCGCGTTCCTTTAATATTTTCCCTGTTGATACGCTTTGCAATAATAAAAAAATCGATTATCGGCACTTATGCAAAATCGCACGAGGAATCCAATGCACTTATCAGATTTTCATTATCTCCAGCGGTTTCGGGGTAAAGAGCTACTACCAGTAAAAAAAATTCATTCTCCCCATTATAGGGGAGACTCGTGCTTAAATATCATTCATATTAATTATTTTTGCCAATCAAATTATTTAATTACTAAGACTAGGAATGATATAAAAAAATAAACCTTCTTGCACCTCGTCACCTCCCCTTCAATTTGTTGCTACTCTTTAGCATCAAAAACGACTAAAAATTTAGTTTTTCGAGTTTGAAAACTTTGGAATTGGAAACTGCCTCTTATGGGGTTCTACCCAGGCTCCTCTATCCCACGTTACTTGTTCACCCCCGATCGGGCCAACTTTTTCCACAACTAATGGAATTACCCGTATAACTCCCCCAATTACTCGGTAATGACGTCCCCACTACCCGCACACCACATCAAAAAAGCCTCTGAGGTCGCCCTGCGCCACATAAATATGGAAACGAGTTAGACCCCTCTATTTATGTATGGCTGCGACCTCAGCTGGCCAACAGGCCAGGCAAGTTGTATATAGTTATATAGTACCGTATATTATTTTGTGGAACTAAAATTCTAACGGGTTCCTCTTAAACTTCCATGAGGATGATATGCCAAATATGTAACATCCCCATCACTGGAAGATTTTACTACCTACAATGTCAACTTTGCTACAACCACTTTCACTGGAAAAAATGTGCCGTTATCCCCCATGGTGGAATCTATTCACAATTAAAACGTGAAGGATGGACTTGTCATCTCTGTAGCACATCTTCTCAACAATGTCTAACAACGACCGCACAACTTAATTCTACACTTCACATTTTACCATTTTCGACATCCGACCCCAATTCCTCCTCGACATTCGACCACTCACCGCCTCGTCGACCAAGTCAACTCAACGACAACTCTACACAACTATACAGCACACTCAAGTCGACGAAAGGACTAAAAATATGCCATCAAAATATTAATAGTCTGCGTAATAAGTTTGATGACATTCTAAACTTGCTCTCTGACTGTAAACCTGACATAATATCCTTCACGGAGTCAAAACTTAATTCAGACAGAGACAAGGATGGTATGTATATTGTTAATGGTTATAATATATTGAGAACAGACCGTAATTATAATTCAGGTGGGGGAATAATAAGTTATATCAAAACTGAAATTAATTTTGAACAAATAGAATGTCTTGTTCCGCTTGATGCAAAATCTGAATGTCAAATATTCAAAATTATTCTAAAAAACTGTAAACCAATTTTAGTAACTGTACTTTATAGCCATCCAGCTGTACCCGGAGCCAGATTAATCAGTTTTTTCCGAGAACTCAACACTTTTCTTTTATCTTTTGACTACGAATATTACATTTTAGGTGATTTCAACTTAGATCTTTTAAAAACTGACTCTAATTCATTTTCACTGTTTACTGCCTGCAGAGAATTCAAATTATGGCAGCACATAACTGGTCCAACTTTTCGGGGCTCCTCCCAGCTAGACCACATATACTCAAATATAAAAAGCAATGTAATAACGTCAGGTCACTTTCCTTATTCTAGTTCAGACCATGACCTAACCTATGTAATAAGAAAAGTTAAGTACATGAAATATTTACCCACTTTATTAACTTGCTAGATGCTACAAACTTTGTAATTTTGAGGACCTCGAAAAAGATCTTGCCACCTACAACTTTGATGTAAATTCTAGCCCACATTTAGAATTTTGTAGATACAACAGTCATGTTATGCAACTGTTGGATAAATATGCTCCCATCAAGAAGAGACTAGTGAAGCCTAAACTTAACCCTTGGTACACCAGCAAACTTGCAGACTTACGCAAATGCAGAGATAGGTTACGAACTATATCAGATACTTCTAAATCTTCTTCCGATAAAAAACTATACACAAAAGCTCGAAACCACTATAATACTAGTTTAACCAATGCAAAAAAATCCTACTTTAACAAAGAATTTGTAAATTCATGCAAAAATACTGTAAACCTTTGGCAAAATGTTAATGTACTCACTGGTTACCGTAAATCTAATTACACACCAATTAATAAATTAGTAGATCCTGATAATACTGTAATTTATGATACCCCTAATACTATCAATGATGCACTTGCGTCACATTTTGTTGTAACCTCAGATAATTTAATTCCTGAACATACTGTATTAGAAGAGATTACACGTTATGAGAATATTTACAATAACTCTGAATCACCTGACAAATTTGAATTAGTCACTGTTGAGGAAGTGAATAAGGCTATTTCAGACACAAAGAAAGATAGTAAATCAGACTTTTTTGTACCTTTATCAATTCTCAAACGCTGCTGCAATGTAGTTTCCTTTCAAATAGCTATTCTATTTAATATAATATTCACTAATTGTAAACTGCCCCACGATTTTAAAACAACATATGTAACTCCTATATATAAAGGGAAAGGTCCGCGTTTGAGCCCATACAGCTATAGACCAATAAGCTGTTTAATCACATATTGTAAACTATTCGAGAGAATACTTTTCCATAGAATACAAATTAGATTAGAATCGAAACTTTGTAATCAACAACACCGTTTTAGGAAAAATCGGTCATGTCATACAGCCGTAACTGAATTCTCAAATTTCATTTATAAATCGTTAGATAATCCGAATACTAAATGTGTAGCTATTTATTTCGATGCGAAATCTGCATTCAATAGTATTGACAGATCTCTATTAATTAAAAAGCTAATGTTTAAGTACAAGTTACACCCCATATATATTAAAACAATACATAATTATGTTAGCGATACATTATTTAGATTTAAAAATAGTGATAAATACTATATTAATTCTATAGGTATAATTCAAGGTGGTACGATCGGACCTGTTGTTTACGGAGCTTATCAGGACGATATCGCTGAAATAATTACATTGCCGTTCTTATTATATGCCGATGATCTCGTTGTGTATATTGCAGGAACAGATTTGGACTTATTATTACAAACACTGAAAGACCAAGTAATTCGTATTCAACAATGGTACACTGACAATAACATGACATTAAATTACGAAAAAACTAAATACCAAATTTTTCATAAAAGTAGAGACCCCATCCCGGACAAGTATGTAAACTCGCCATTGGTGCTAGATAGTGGTCATATTATCGAGCAAGTTTCTTGTTTTAAATATCTTGGGGTGGAACTTGACTCGACACTGAGTTTTAAACAACACTTTGAGTCAGTAAGTAAGCGTATTTCCGGTAATCTAGGTTACTTATATGGGTTGAAGCGATATTTAAGTGAAAATGTAATGACGGTTATGATGAATAGTCACATACATTCTATTGCAGATTATTGTATTGACATATGGGCGACATTAACTATTCCACAACTTGACACTATACAACGAAAAGTTGACAATTACCTAATAAATTTTTATTTGCCCATTATTGCGAAAAAAGCTCGTATCCGCAAATCTCGACACTACAAAGACCTCAGACATAAGTTAAGTATAGTAGATTTACGATCAAAGTGTAATATGTTAACAATAACGGAGAGAAGAGACCTTTTTCTACTTAAGTATGCGTTTAAGAACCTGGCACATCTTAAATCTGTATCCTCAATTAGACGTACATTTCCTCTGTTAGCTGTTCCCAGTACTAAAACGACTTTCTAACAGAAAAGCATAAATTATAGAGCTATTAAGCTATGGAACTCGCTGCCGCGTGACTGGGAAGATAACATAACTTATCCTAAATTTGTTCAGTTGAGTCGAGAATGGATAATTTCTAGACGCAAGGAAGAATATATTTACTATTAATTTTAGTTGATAATTAGA